TGCTGTTGCTGCTCCTGCTCCGGCTGCTGCTGCTGCTACTGCTGCTGCTCCAACTACTACAATTGCTACTGCTACTGCTGCTGCTACTGCTGCTGCTACTGCTGCTGCTACTGCTACTGCTACTGCTGCTGCTACTGTTACTGCTACTGATACTGCTACTGCTACTGCTACTGCTGTTCCTGCTACTGCAACTGCTACTGCTACTGCTGCTGCTACTGCTACTACTACTGCTGCTACTACTTCTCCTCCACCCGCTACTCCTGCTACTACTACTGCTACTGTTCCTACTGCTACTACTCCAGCTGCTACTACTTCTCCTCCACCCGCTACTCCTGCTACTACTACTGCTACTGTTCCTACTGCTACTACTCCAGCTGCTACTACTTCTCCTCCACCCGCTACTCCTGCTACTACTACTGCTACTGCTGGTGCTGGTGCTGCTATTGCTACTGCTGCTGCTGCTGTTGCTACTGCTGTTGCTGCTACTGCTGCTGCTACTGCTACTGCTGCTGCTACTGCTACTGTTGTTCCTACTACTACAATTGCTACTGCGACTGCTGCTGCTACTACTGCTACTGCTGCTGCTACTGCTACTGCTGGTGCTGGTGTTGCTATTGCTACTGTTGCTGCTGCTGCTGCTGCTACTGCTACTGCTGTTCCTACTACTACAATTGCTACTGCGACTGCTGCTGCTACTACTGCTACTGCTGCTGCTACTGCTACTGCTGGTGCTGGTGTTGCTATTGCTACTGTTGCTGCTGCTGCTGCTGCTACTGCTACTGCTGTTCCTACTACTACAATTGCTACTGCGACTGCTGCTGCTACTACTGCTACTGCTGCTGCTACTGCTACTGCTGGTGCTGGTGTTGCTATTGCTACTGTTGCTGCTGCTGCTGCTGCTACTGCTACTGCTGTTCCTACTACTACAATTGCTACTGCGACTGCTGCTGCTACTACTGCTACAACTACTGTTACTACTGCTACTGCTACTACTATTGCTCCTACTGCTACTACTACTGCTACTACTACTACTGCTGCTACTGTTGATACTGCTGCTGCTACTACTACTACTACTACTACTGCTACTGCTGCTGCTACTGCTACTGCTGGTGCTGGTGCTGCTATTGCTACTGCTGCTGCTACTGCTGCTGCTCCAACTACTACAATTGCTACTGCTACTGCTGATGCTACTGCTGCAGCTACTGCTGCTGCTACTGCTGCTGCTCCAACTACTACAATTGCTACTGCTACTGCTGATGCTACTGCTGCAGCTACTGCTGCTGCTACTGCTGCTGCTCCAACTACTACAATTGCTACTGCTACTGCTGATGCTACTGCTGCAGCTACTGCTGCTGCTACTGCTGCTGCTCCAACTACTACAATTGCTACTGCTACTGCTGATGCTACTGCTGCAGCTACTGCTGCTGCTACTGCTGCTGCTCCAACTACTACAATTGCTACTGCTACTGCTGATGCTACTGCTGCAGCTACTGCTGCTGCTACTGCTGCTGCTCCAACTACTACAATTGCTACTGCTACTGCTGATGCTACTGCTGCAGCTACTGCTGCTGCTACTGCTGCTGCTCCAACTACTACAATTGCTACTGCTACTGCTGATGCTACTGCTGCAGCTACTGCTGCTGCTACTGCTGCTGCTCCAACTACTACAATTGCTACTGCTACTGCTGATGCTACTGCTGCAGCTACTGCTGCTGCTACTGCTGCTGCTCCAACTACTACAATTGCTACTGCTACTGCTGATGCTACTGCTGCAGCTACTGCTGCTGCTACTGCTGCTGCTCCAACTACTACAATTGCTACTGCTACTGCTGATGCTACTGCTGCAGCTACTGCTGCTGCTACTGCTGCTGCTCCAACTACTACAATTGCTACTGCTACTGCTGATGCTACTGCTGCAGCTACTGCTGCTGCTACTGCTGCTGCTCCAACTACTACAATTGCTACTGCTACTGCTGATGCTACTGCTGCAGCTACTGCTGCTGCTACTGCTGCTGCTCCAACTACTACAATTGCTACTGCTACTGCTGATGCTACTGCTGCAGCTACTGCTGCTGCTACTGCTGCTGCTCCAACTACTACAATTGCTACTGCTACTGCTGATGCTACTGCTGCAGCTACTGCTGCTGCTACTGCTGCTGCTCCAACTACTACAATTGCTACTGCTACTGCTGATGCTACTGCTGCAGCTACTGCTGCTGCTACTGCTGCTGCTCCAACTACTACAATTGCTACTGCTACTGCTGATGCTACTGCTGCAGCTACTGCTGCTGCTACTGCTGCTGCTCCAACTACTACAATTGCTACTGCTACTGCTGATGCTACTGCTGCAGCTACTGCTGCTGCTACTGCTGCTGCTCCAACTACTACAATTGCTACTGCTACTGCTGATGCTACTGCTGCAGCTACTGCTGCTGCTACTGCTGCTGCTCCAACTACTACAATTGCTACTGCTACTGCTGATGCTACTGCTGCAGCTACTGCTGCTGCTACTGCTGCTGCTCCAACTACTACAATTGCTACTGCTACTGCTGATGCTACTGCTGCAGCTACTGCTGCTGCTACTGCTGCTGCTCCAACTACTACAATTGCTACTGCTACTGCTGATGCTACTGCTGCAGCTACTGCTGCTGCTACTGCTGCTGCTCCAACTACTACAATTGCTACTGCTACTGCTGATGCTACTGCTGCAGCTACTGCTGCTGCTACTGCTGCTGCTCCAACTACTACAATTGCTACTGCTACTGCTGATGCTACTGCTGCAGCTACTGCTGCTGCTACTGCTGCTGCTCCAACTACTACAATTGCTACTGCTACTGCTGATGCTACTGCTGCAGCTACTGCTGCTGCTACTGCTGCTACTCCTACTACTGCTGCTACTGTTACTGCTACTGCTACTGCTACTGCTGTTCCTGATACTGCAACTGCTACTGCTACTACTGCTACTGCTACTACTGCTGCTGCTGCTGTTGCTACTGCTGCTGCTACTGCTGCTGCTGCTGCTACTGCTGCTGCTGCTGCTACTGCTGCTGCTGCTGCTACTGCTGCTGCTGCTGCTACTGCTGCTGCTGCTGCTACTGCTGCTGCTGCTGCTACTGCTGCTGCTGCTGCTACTGCTGCTGCTGCTGCTACTGCTGCTGCTGCTGCTACTGCTGCTGCTGCTGCTACTGCTGCTGCTGCTGCTACTGCTGCTGCTGCTGCTACTGCTGCTGCTGCTGCTACTGCTGCTGCTGCTGCTACTGCTGCTGCTGCTGCTACTGCTGCTGCTGCTGCTACTGCTGCTGCTGCTGCTACTGCTGCTGCTGCTGCTACTGCTGCTGCTGCTGCTACTGCTGCTGCTGCTGCTACTGCTGCTGCTACTACTGCTCCTGCTGCTGCTACTACTACTACTACTACTGCTACTAGTACTACTAGTACTACTAGTACTACTACTAGTACTACTACTACTACTACTACTACTACTACTACTGCTATTCCTGCTACGACCTGCTGCTGCTACTACCTGCTGCTGCTACTACTGCTACTACTGCTACTTCTACTGTTACTACTGCTACTGCTACTACTATTGCTCCTACTGCAACTACTACTTCAACTTCTACTGCTGCTGCTACTGCTGCTGCTACTGCTGCTGCTACTACTGCTGCTACTACTGCTGCTGCTACTGCTGCTGTTGCTGCTGCTACTACTGCTGCTGCTGCTGCTGCTACTGCTACTAGTACTACTACTGCTACTACTACTGTTACTACTGCTGTTACTACTGCTGCTGCTATTGCTCCTACTGCTACTACTACTACTGCTGCTACAACTACTGCTACTGCTACAGCTACTATTACTGTTACTGCTGCTGCCGCTGTTGCTACTAATACTACTACAACTACTACTACTTCTACTACTACTACTACTGCTACTGCTACTGCTCCTGCTACTGCTACTGTTGCTGCTGCTACTGCAACTGCTACTGCTACTACTGCTACTGCTCCTACTGCTACTACTCCTGCTACTACTACTACTACTGCTACTACTACTACTACAGTTACTGCTACTGTTGCTGCTGCTGCTGCTACTACTACTGCTGCTGCTGCTGTTGCTACTGCTGTTGCTACTTCTACTAGTACTACTGCTGCTACTACAACTACTACTGTTGCTGTTGTTGCTACTGTTGTTGCTGCTACTGCTGCTGCTACTGCTGCTGCTGGTGCTGGTGCTGCTACTGCTACATCTGCTGCTGCTGCTACTGCTGCTGCTCCTACTACTACAATTGCTACTGCTACTGCTGCTGCTACTACTGCTGCTGCTACTGCTACTCCTACTGCTGCTGCTACTGTTACTGCTACTGCTACTGCTACTACTATAGCTACTGCTGCTGCTGCTACTGCAAGTGCTCCTGCAACTACTGCTACTGCTCCTACTGCTACTACTACTGCTGCTACTACTTCTCCTCCAACTGCTACTCCTGCTACTACTACTACTACTGCTACTACTACCACTACTGCTACTTCTACTGCTGCTGCTGCTACTGCTACTACTACTGCTGCTGCTGCTGTTGCTACTACTGCTGCTACTGCTACTAGTACTACTGCTGCTACTACAACTGCTACTGCTCCTGTTGTTGCTATTGCTGTTGCTGCTACTGCTGCTGCTACTGCTACTGCTAGTGCTGGTGCTGCTACTTCTACTGCTGCTGCTGCTGCTGCTGCTACTGCTACTGCTGTTCCTACTACTACAATTGCTACTGCGACTGCTGCTGCTACTACTGCTACTGCTGCTGCTATTGCTACTGCTGCTGCTACTGCTACTGCTGCTGCTACTGCTACTGCTACTGCTACTACTAGTGGTAGTGCTAGTGTTAGTGCTGCTGCTGCTGCTACTGCTACTGCTGGTGCTGGTGCTGCTACTACTACTGCTGGTGCTGGTGGTGCTACTGCTACTGTTACTACTGCTGCTACTATTGCTACTGCTGCTGCTACTACTACTACTACTACTACTACTACTACTACTACTACTTCTACTACAACTACTACTGCTACTGCTACTGCTACTGCTACTTCTGCTGCTGCTACTGTAACTGCTACTGCTCCTACTGCTACTACTACTGCTGCTACTACGACTGCTGCTACTACTTCTGCTCCAATAGCTACTCCTGCTACTGCTACTACTACTGCTACTGCTAGTGCTACTACTACAGCTACTGGTACTTTCTCTTTCTCCTCTTCCTCCTCCTGCTACTACTGCTGCTGCTGCTGTTGCTACTGCTGCTGCTACTGCTACTAGTACTACTATTGCTACTACAACTGCTACTGCTGCTGCTACTACTGCTGCTGCTACTGTTACTGTTGGTGCTGGTGCTGCTACTGCTACTGCTACTGCTACTGCTACTGCTACTGCTCCTGCCGGTGCTAGTGCTGCTACTGCTACTGTTACTGCTGATGCTACTGCTGCTGTTCCTACTACTACTACTACTACTACTACTACTACAACTACGACTGCTACTACTACTACTACTACTACTACTACTGCTACTGCTACTGTTACTGCTACTGCTGCTAC